GTAGTTTCATAATTTCAAACAAAAATTAGGTAAAAATTTCCTAAACTAAAATCACGCAGTAATGGATCACAATCAACCTTGATAAAATTTCAGGATTTAAGCATGGATTAACTCTGTTTGAACCCTAAAATCATTGTAAAAATAGGCTATAAATGGGACGTTAAATCACACAAAAAAGGTTGGGTTTTGGCTACTATTTGGATGAATCTATTTTAAGGATTTGCTGATCTTTTTGGAAGTTTCTAAGGTTTGATGAAAAGTGAAACCATTTGGAATCCTTTGAAAAATCTGAAAGAGGGTGAGTTTCTAGAAAAATCTGGGTTTTGGGAAGAACATAAGAATTTTTTGGTCAAATTTTTTAACAGGATTTGAAGTTTTTGGCCAAGTTTCGACCAGTTTTCCAAAACCCAATGATTAAACCCAATTTTTGGCAACTAAGTTTGGGGATTTTAAAGGGAACCGAGAGAGAAAAATGAGTTAGAGAAAGAAGGCCGAGGTAGGTCTGAAAAAAAACAAATGACTTTGCCTTTTATACTGTGCCAAAATGACACTGTTCTAAAGGTCTTAGATCCACGCGTCGACTTGCTAACCCGCTCTCTAGACCTAATTCGATCGTAAGTTTTTCTTTTTCTTTTCATTTTATTTTTTATTTACATTTTTATTTATTTTATTTTTCTAAATTTTCTTATTTATTTATGTTTACATTTTATTTATTTTATTCTTTTTAGATTTTCTTTAATTTCATTTATTATCATTATTATTATCCTACTTATTTTTAAATTAAATAATTTATTTTAAATACTTTCATAAATTTCATTTTTTTTCAAAAAAATAATAAAAAAATGTTTCTAAAACGAATTCATTAACCTTACCAAACTATTGAAAGATTCTTTATGAATTTAAATTTTTTATGAATTCTACCAACCTATTGGAGAATTTTCATAAATTGATTGTTCAAGAAAAATATTATTAATAAAATATTTTGTTTTGATTCCACCAAACTATTTGAGGATTTGCATTTTAAATTAAGTCTTACCAAATTATTGAAAGATTTAATACACTTTCTAAAAAACATTTATAAAGAAATCTCACCAAACTATTAGAGGATTTGCATCAAAGTAAATCTTACTAAACTATTATAAGATTTTACTAATTATTTTTTTGAATAAAAATATATTAATAAATTTGACGATAGAGCTTTTTCAAAGAGGAATACTAGTTTCTATGATACTCCTGAGGTGAAAAAATTATCTTAAATTGTTACTAAACTATTGGAGTAATTTTAAGATTAATTTTAAATATTAAATATTTTGGTAAATCATAAATATGGTTAAAGCTTAGATAATTTGAAATCAAACTGGTACCATTTTATGGATGGGCACTGTAAGGTTGTTATAACTTTCTTCATGTTTAATAGTACTCTCGAATCTAAATCTAGTTTCATGGACTAAAATATACTATTTAAAGATACCTAAGTCAATCTTGAGAGTCTTTTTAAATAGGACAGATTCGATCAGATGGCCAATCACACCTTAACAAAAAAGATTGGTAACGACTCTTAAAGTCCATGTGTAATGGTAGATCCACAGATCTATACGCTATGACAATATCCATATTCTATTATTCTTGGTTGATAAAGAACCTACAAAATAATTGTTGGTTAGTCAAAGTGCTTTTAAACAAATAAAAAGTAATATATTTGATACTTATCGGAAATGTAACCCAATTTATTTTTTTTCATTTTATCAACAGTACCTAATCCTTTGAAACAACATAAAAGAACTCATAAACATATATTATACTCATAAAAAATTGTATAGTAGTTCACATAACAAAGATGAATACCTTTTTATTATATTGACAAGCTTAGGTTTAGGCTTTGACCCTTCTTTTCGTAAGTAAAAAAAGTAAACCGTAAATGTTGCATACTCAATGACAAGTAGCTGCCAATGACCCTTGCAAATCATAGTCATATTTGAAATGTTAGAATGTAATGTGAATGACAATTATAAAATTTGTATATCACACATAGTCAAGTAATTAATAAAGTGAATCTCACAATTATAAATCTTTCCAATCATCAGTGGTAATTTCACCATATATGAATCTTAAAGCAATGTTGTCCTAAAACACAATATGCAAACATCAATAAATATAATATATTAAGATGCATAAATGGCAAACTAGCCAATGAGATGTAAATACAAAATGAACTTACAATTTTCTTAGCCATTTGTTCAATTGCTTTATTTTGACATATGCATAGTTCCAAATTTTGACATTTGAGCTTTTTTTCAAACTTCCCATCTTGAGATTTCATTGTCAAAGTTGGATGTTTCTTGAAACCATATAAAAATATAAGTTGGCAACTTTATTGTAATCCAAAATCATATGTATAATAATTGGTAAAAAATACTTACACATTCATGCTTCACATTTGCATACCTTTTTTTTTTATGCTCGATGGTGATACACTTTTTGGGCTTGTATTTTCTTTTGGGCTTCTTTTTACTTTTTGCAAAAAAACAAAATCAATAACACAATAATAAATATCTCACTCTAAATAATGTATTATAAAAACAAAACAAGATTGCTATGGAAATGCTGAATTCATCTAATAGAAGAGTTGAAACAAACTTCATCCACCTTCATCACTGATAATATATGAATATGTTCACTAAGGATGAGCCAACAATTTAGTATTGTTAGTATTTGGTAAAATATATTTTGTTGTCAATCTACTTTTAAAATCTCTGACTTTCAACCAAGTAGATTACAACACAATTTTCTTATACTCAGTTGGGACATCAAAACATTCCTAAAAGATTAAATAAAGATATGTTAACAATAAGCGTACTTGCATTCCATAAATAATACACATAAACGATTAATAAGTTTTCTATATGAATATTGTAACTTACCACAACCAAATCCTATATACGATCCTTTGAATCATCTAGAACTTTCTTTAACTTTCGTAGTTAATGGATATTGTCTGTCGAATGATATATCTAATATGGCTAGCCATTTTTGTTGCATTATTTAACACAAGTTGCCTATCCATATTGAAATCAACATGTATCTTCTCTCAGTTAATTCAAGCAATTTGCCACATCCCTTAACTTTTTTTTTTTTTTAAAGAAGATATGTCAACTAAATGCTTTTCTTCGTGTTTGTAAGATGATGATATATGTTCTTTAGAAGCCATAATATCAACTAATTTATTCAAATTTAAATATGGAATGACATTAGCAAACAACCAAACCTGAACATAATGATTTTGAAATTGCTATTTTGTTGACCAAGCATTCACCAAGCAAGCATTCAAAAAATACAAATAACTTATATGTTCTTGATGGCATTTGAAACATTACCAAGCATTCACCAAGCATTTTTCTTAAGTGTCTTAGAAATGACCTCTAACTTGCATTATGATTCTCATGTAGCCAAATAACTTTACCTTTTTGCCTTTTTCAACCAATTTTTATAATGGAAAATACCCTTCCAACTATGAAACCAACTAAGCATATGAAACCAACTAAGTAATCACCAAGCAAGAAATTGAGTGTAAATATATAATTATCAAATCATATGAACAAATAATTGAACAGTTAAATAAAGGTAAAATATCACATATTTACCTCAATTGACGACGACGGTGGTATCGATGATGATGATGGAAACAAAGTGACTTGGGGTTTCTTAGATAGGTTTTAGAGTTCATGGTTTGGTCGAGGATCAAGGTTAATCCTATGTAAAATGGTTAATCAAATAGTGGGCAGGTTTCTGTTATATTTACCAAATAAAAATATTAGTTATTGCATTTATAGGCTTTGAAACACAGTAATTGATAATTGTAATTTTTTCTCAAATGATCAATTGCTGCATTGTTTTGTTTTATAATGCAGTGATTGGTAATTGTAATTGTAATAAAATGATTGATTACTACATTACTTTGTTTTATTATGCAATATTGATTATTGTAATATCTTTTCAAACAATCAATTATTGCATTGCTTTGGTTTATAATGCAATATTTGATCATTGTAATCGTTTTAAAACAATCAATTACTACATTTCTTTATTTTATAACGCAGTAATTAATAATTTTAATTTTAATCAAATGATCAATTATTGTGTTACTTTGTTTTATAATGTAATAATTGATCATTGTAATTGTTTTAAAACAATAAATTATTGCATTGCTTTGTTTTATAACGTAATAATTAACAATTGTAATTTTAATAAAATAATCAATTATCACGGTATTTTGTTTTATAATGCAATAATTAATCATTGTAATTTTTTTAAAATAGTAAATTACTGCGCTAATAGTTTTTTCAATGCAGTATTTATCCATTATGTCTTGCATTTCATGGATGAACTAAAATTAGTAATTTTATATAATTTTTTAATTAGCCACTCGAATAATGTCTTTACACAATTTGAAATTGTATTATTTATCGATTATTTTATTAAAAACTTATTGTATTTGTTATATAGTGAAAAATATTATAATAAAAATATAAGATTAAGTAATTTGACTTTTTTTTCAACTAAACACATGACTATAATAATTCCATAATCACCACCTATCAAGAATTTACATTTTATTTTAAATTACATTTTTTCTCAAAATGTAATATTCTGAAGGAAACTCTTGTTTAATTTATTTAGGATATTATAAAATTTTATTTTTTTTCTAAAGTAAAAAAATTAATTTTTTATTAATTTGAAAATTTATAATTTTTTCAATAATAAAATTTTTCATTCATACCAACTAATAAAAAATTTCTAATAATTTCTCTTTTTTATAATTTTTATAATTTTATTTTTTAAAAATAAATTTTTGAAAAGTTATAAAATTTAACGAATATAAAACTTGTTAAATATAAATATTCAAAAGTGTATAAAAAAGATAATTAAATAATTTTACTTATAAAATTAAAAAAATGTAAAAAACAAAAATTGAAATTCATTTAGAAGACTCCCATAATTCAAATATGATATTAAAATCCGAATTCGCTCGTTTGTCCTTTGCAGGTCTAGCGTTTCGTACACAGAATTAATTGCTAAAAAAAAATGGAAAATGAAGAAGAAAAATAGTGTCAACTTCGTAATATTAGGAAAGTTAATGTCTGAATATGCAAAAGTAAAAGTGGGCCGCCGTTGATTTTCAGAATTCAGGCTTCCTCCGCATCACAAATCTTCACATGCAAAAGAAATTGATTAAATTCTGCAACAAACACAGATATATAAAAACAGGTACGATACTATACATGTACGCAGTATGCCTTTGTTTCTTTCGATTGAGAAAAAAAAGTACTCTATAAAACTCTGCTTCTTATTTTAGGGTTTTCTCTAGCAATTCTCGTTAATTTATTGCGTTTATTAGCGATTTGTTCCTTAAAGTCTATCCATTTTTTTGCTTTGGGTTTTGAATTCTTTTTCAATTGGTTTGGTTTTTGTTTTCAACTTGTTGAAAGAAGTGGAGCTAATGGGTTCGTCCTCAGCTGAAGCTTTTCCAGCAATGCAGGTAATGCCTCAACTAAATATTTGAATCGAATAAAAAGCTTGGAAAATTTTCTGCAATGAATGGATGTCTTAGGTTATCATGTTTGAAATCAATTGTCCATTATTTATTGGCAGGAAACTTTGCTGGAGTTTCGTGCTGGTAAAATGCTGTTGGAAGGAAAAACGGTTGTCCCTGATACTCGAAAAGGACTCGTTCGCATAGCTAGAGTATAATCGTTCCAAGCAATTTCTGCTATTCGTATTTTTTTTTTCTTTTGGGTTACATTTACCTCTAACTAATTTTTTACATCATGTGTTCAGATAGTGAAATTGATATACTTCATAATATCCGTTTTAACTAAATTGTTGCGAGCTTACCGCCTTTCTGTGTCAGGGTGAGGAGGGACTGGTGCATTTTCAGTGGCTTGATCGCACTCAAAATGTTGTTGAAGATGTATCCTACTTTCTATATATTTCTTTGTTGCTTCACTTAAAATATTTCATTCTGTCTCATTCTTGTTATTCATTTTCACTGGGTTTGCTTAATTCTGTTATATTTGAAATAGGTGTATTCCCTTTCTTTTGGTGAAAGTGTCATTGATAATCATGGTCTCGGAAGGTCTCATGCTTGAGAATTCCAGAAGAAGTTATTGTCATAATGCAATTGTTACTTGCTGTTGAAGACTTTGCATTAGGCAGTTCATGCTCCTTTGCTGGGTTATACAACTTTTAATCTTTTACTTTTACTTACAAGTGCTAACAATTGACTAACATTGGTCAAGTTTTGGGGAATTTTGCTTCTGTAGGGCAGCAGTGCACGTAGGGGAACATTTAGGATTTTGAGTTTGAGGGTAAGTGTTTGGACTAGGGTTTGATAATGGTGGAATGGTAACTAAAGAAGGGTTCTAATTGAAGGAAAAAGTTGCTGGAAATTTTGGCAATAAGGTCATGAAGAATTATGTTATTGTATTCAAAGAATCTAGTTAGTTGCATTTAGATATTCAAAATTTGTAAAATATTTTCAAGGATATGCGAAAAGGGGATATTATTTAGATTACAAATGAATGCCTAAATTAACCAAATAATTATGAATTTTATTAGTTAGAAACCTACTAAAATGTTAATATACTACATAGGTATTTGTAAGGATTTTTGTCTCTGACCCAGAGTAAAATGCTAATAGATGATTGGTAGATCTAGAGAAGTAGCAAATAAGTTTGGTTCCCGTGCCTACCTGTTAACTTAGAATTTTTATTAATCAAAAACATTCTAAAATAACTAGAATAGGAACTATGGCTCCAAGTTGGAAACTGTCTAAGCTCCTAGAATAAACGTGGCTAACTAACCCAATTATCCTTATAGAATTCATAATATAAAATTCTAAATTGCTTGTATTAAGATTATATACTGGGAACTAGGTTCTTCAATGGCTGCAGTGTCACCAATAGTTATTTCTTAGGATTTTTCAGAACTGTAACGTACAAGGATGGCAATGGGTTGGGTCAGGGCTGGTTTTTGCTTGTCCCGAACCCGACCTGACCCAACCCGAAGATTTTTTTTCCATACCAACCCGACCCGACTCAATATTGTATAAACTGTATCCGATCCGACCTAACCCAAAATTAATAAAATAATATTTTTTAAATATAAAATATTATTTTATTAAATATAAATATATATAAATAAAAAATTAAAAAATAATTTTTATATAATATCGGGTCGGGTTGGGTTTGTCTAAAACCCGAACCGACCCAACCCTGATTTTTTTTTAACATTACCCGACCTGAAACCCGATTTAAAAAAAAAAAATGATCCTATGAGGTTAGGTTGGATCGAAACCCCGCCAGAGGCAAGTTGGGTTGCCAACCTTAGTAACTTATATATCCATGCCTCTGTCAACCAAATAACGTATAAACTTTACAAATCAAAAGTTTACTAAAATATTGATAGATGAATTGTAGATATAGGGGAGTAGCAGATAACCTAGGTTCCCATGTGATGTAGAACAAATACTCTAGAATAACAATATTCAATAATTCTCAATATGTAAGTTGTTCAATAATCAAAATCTAACCTCCAAACATAAGAAAATCTATATATATATATATATGAGGAGGTATCCACTTATACTTTTTTGGACCCTTGGATCAAAATTTAAATTTAAAAAAATTATTTTGATTTAAATGAGTCATGGATTTAATTTATCCTAGAATCCAAAAAAAGTGTAAGAGTTATACTAGATTAAGTGGATCCTTACTGTCTCTCTCTCTCTCTCTATATATATATATATATATATATAACCATCATAACCCTAGTTTTTAAGCCCATGGGAAAATATATCCCACCTAACCCAAATAAAGACTAATAAAAATAATTCAAACAAACAAGTCTACTAATAAATTAAATCCGACTTCCTAAATTTATGCCTAGAATAGACATTCTTCCAAAACTTGGAAGACTGTTCTCCATTACCATGCCTACCAGATAACTTAGAATTCTTATTAATCAAAAGTATTCTAATATTACTAAAATAGAAACATTACCTTGCTGATCACATTGCTTCCTATACCACTACTTAACCAACTAGGACTATGGTTCCAAGTTGGAGACCATGTAAGCTCCTACAATAATTAAATGTGGCTAACTAACCCAATTAACCTTTTAGAATTCATAATATTAAATTCTAAATTGCTTGAATTAAAATTACATACAAGGAATTAGGTTATTCATTGGCTGTAGTATCATCATTAATGGAACAAAGTTGTGTCTTCATTTGGTTGTCTTGAGCAATTTGTGACCCAACAAGTTTGTAGACAGATGTTAAATGTGGGATATTTTCTGGGGGCCATGGGTTCTTCTGGCTACCACAGAAGTTTTTATTTCATTTTTTCATATGTTCGTCGGTTAAGTTTTTACCTTTTTTACATAATTTTATGGAAACAAAGTAATGGATACAAGAAAGCCAACATATCTGCTGCAAATTTTTGAGATGTCACAAATTCTTGTGCTACTATCCCTAGTATATTTAACTCTTCAACTAGTTTTGAATCTAGTATATGCAGCTGTAATGGGTGCCATTTCTAGCATGGCATGTATGGCTTTAAGGCCCTTAACCATGGAGATGCATATAAGGGGGTATTTGTCTAGTATCATTTAGAAGCATAATTTAATTAAGAACTTGACTTGTCTGTACATTAAGGCTTGCAGGTTTTATTACAGCAGTCTGTCAGTTGTGACTTTTTTATGCCGCTTCTGATGTGGTAGTCTAAGAATATATTGGTGGATCTGCAGCGATTTCATACACGTGTATGTGTGTGTACATGCGTTCATTTCATTCTAAAATGTAGTTAGAGGTAAGGGGTCTCTAGATTTTAAGGTTAGTTCAGCATGTCCGGATCTTCTGCATTGTATTTTTTTTTTTTTTTTTAATTTTAATACACTAGTTTTATCTTCTTATCTAATAACTGAAATGATTAGCTCTGTTGCCCATCTTTGCTAGTTGCAAGTCAGTGGCAATATCATTCTCATTGTTCACATTGCTTTTTATATCCCCTCTGGTTAACTGATATGGTTAAGAATTGATTTTTAATTATTTTCCATTAACATCTTAGTTTCACAGTTCATATTCAGACATGTGATGAACCTTCTATCTATACTCAACCCTAGTTTTGTTGCCTGATTCATAAAAATTGTTCATATAATGTGTCTTTTTATTTCTTTTATTGTGCGTGCTTTTTTCTTTTCCTTGACACAACATATTATAGGATCAGATTATTTTTCCTGATGAAGCTGTTTTTGAGAAGGTATTTAATATTATTTTGAGTTATTTAAATCTTTTAAGAGAGTTAATTATCAAATTGGAATTCATTAGCTCTTTTAAGTAATCTTGAGTATTATTATTCTTGGTTAATCTTTTAAGTAATCTTGAATATTGTTATTCTTGGTTAACTTAGGTTAATCAAGCATCAGGCAGGGTTTACATATTAAAGTTCAATACCGACGACCGGAAGTTCTTTTTTTGGATGCAGGTCAGATTTGTTAATCTGCTTCCTGTATAACTTGGTTTCTGCTCTTTATTGATAAGTGGTTTTTATTCTCATTCTCTCAGGAGCCTAAAGGTGAAGATGACTTACAATTATGTAGCTCAGTCAATAATTTCATCAATCAACCATTAGGTATAAAGGGATTACTTTTCCATTTAGTTTATGCTTTGTAGTATTAAAGCTGTTTCCTAATCATCTTGGTTATCCATCTGTATGGATTTTTTTGATTTGTTTAAAAAGATAAATTATTCTCTTTTTGGAATTTTGTGTTGTATGAATGCCTTGTAACCTCAACAGACCACATGTTTTTGCATTTATCCTGCTTTTAATTTCCAACATGATTTTATTGGTTTACTTTTGGTTTACTGGATATTCTATTTTTACTTAAACTGTTCCTTCTTTATGTTCATATTTTGAAGCATCCTCATCTTATTTTATGTTGATGTAATTAAATAAGTCACCTTATCAATCATGGCTTTCTCAACCACAGTGCCTCTTTCTCTGTTGGTTCCCTCAAATCTGATATAATTAAATGTCACATTATCAAACATGGCTTTCTTGACCAGTCTCTCTCTCTCTCTCTCTTTGTTCCCTCAATTCTCGCCCTTGACTCTTTAGATTATCGTTTGTAAATTTAATTCAGTGATGCAAAATTGGAAACCCCTGCATGCATAGGTATAATGTGTAGCTTTACACCTTTTTTTCTTCACTCATCTTACGATTTGAGCATAAGTCCCCATATATCCAAATTGCCCTATCCTTGGACTAGGACTTCATATGTTAACCAATTTGATATTTTGAAGCTTGACCATTACCTCAATGTGGTTGGGGGTAGGGGGAGTTTTCCACAAACTCTGATTTTGTTTGTTTTATAAATTATATTCAACAGAATTCCTTGGTGTAGAAGAGTCTGATGCTTCTGTTCCTTTGCAAGTGTCTGAAGACATGGTTGAAGATGATATTTCATCAAGGTAAAGCCATTGTTACAAAGATTCCCCCCCCCCCCCCCCCAAAAAAAAAAAAAGAAACATTTCTATAATTGGTTTTTGCTATTTGCAAATTAAAAACCTAAATGTTATAGTTATTATGAACTTAGTTTTCAGATGTCTTATGGTCTAGCCTCTCATATTCCTTTTATTATATATGTCAATTACTTGGCAAAACACTATTAAAATGGTTATGATACTTTTTAATTAAAATTAGTATTAAAATATGATGTTGGACATATTGAGGAATCAACTTACATGATTTGTGGTGGATTAGTGTCTAGGAAAATTAGAGGTTTTAGTGTTTGTAAATATTTTAAGAAGAGGAGTTAGGTTTTTGAATAAATTTTAAGATTGAATATATTGAGTTTATGAGTTGAGGAAAATACAGGGAAATTAAGATTGAATTTGTTGAGTTGATGACTAGAGGCTGATATCAGGCATCATGTTACCCAAGATCTTTGGTAATTGGAAGGATTATGATATCAACGGTTGTGTTAGGTATATATAAATTTATCTCTAGTTATTAGTTAGATATTTTCTGCCACGTTGATTAGGATTTAATTTACTATTTCTTTATGCTTTCTGCGTTGGGATGAGATATTATGACCAAGATGATAATAACAATTTATTTTTTCATAATTTCTTGAGTGTTTGCTCTATATAAAGACTAAATTCTCTAGTAAGGTTTTGTAAGTTGAATTTTAATAAAAATCCCAGAGGTTGAGCTTCTTCGGGTAACTCTTATTTTCAGTTTTCGTTTTCCTTCTATCTGGTATGTATCAGGTAGGTAGTTATGGTATGATTAGTTAGTCTGTACTGGTGAAAAAATTTGTGGAGGGTTCAGCATTTCAAGATATTTTAACTGTTGAAATTTGTGGGAAACAAGAAAGAAGATATGAAGTAACATCACATTGTTAATTTGATCCTAGAAACCTCAACTTTGATGAAGTTGACAGTACAAATATATTGGCATGGTTATCAACTTGCTGATTCTAGTTGGACCGGATTTCTTAACACCAGTGTACTTTAAGAGCAAAATGCAACCCAAATGAATCAATTATTTTATAATGGATTTGATAGCTTAAGTCTAACAGATTCCAAAGGAGTAAAGTATAGTCTTATGCCAACCAAAAAGAAAGGAATAAAACAAAATGGCCAAAAAAGTTCTCATGTTTTATAATGGCATGCTTCTTCTCTGGTTTGACTGCTACCTAGACAAGCTGTTGTGTGCACTATAAACATAGTTGCTATAGGAACTGAATGCTAATGGATATCTGACAAAAGGGAAAATGTGCTAATGTTTTCCTGGCTTTGGATATTGTTCTCTTGTGTCCACCTATATTATTGTGTTATTAATCTTGCTTGGTAGGCCTATGGGATTTTGCTTTCCCCTGTCGTTTTTGGTATTGAGTTATTAATAAGAAACAGTTAGGTGGCCTCAAAAACTAGAATATTCAAGAAATTTGACACTCTTAATAAGACTAAATTTTTGGTGAGGCTTACCACAAGATCTTTTATTATACAGAGTTTCATTGGTGATGTGGTCTTGTCTAAATTTACTTAGACTTCTCTTATTGTAATGTTAGTAGGGATGGAGGATCAGTGGAAATTGTAGATCAACACATACTGCAAGTGAGTAATTTTAGGAGTCTTGTGTAGCAGGAATGGGACCTGAGCAGGATTGGTGAAATGGAGCTATATTGAGAGTTGTGTGTTGCAAAATTTTTTTCAAAGTTTAAGGAAAATTATGCAAGTTGGCCATAAAATCAGCAATGTCATACAGGAAAATGTTGAAAGTTTGAATATATGTAAACAATGAGTGTGGTTGAGATGAGAATGCTATACTGGATGCGTGAGCATATACAGAAGATAAAACTATGAACAACTGCATAAGGGAAAAGGTGACGATTGCACCGATTTAGGGAAAAATGAGATAAACACATTTAAAGTGGTTTGAAAATGTAAAGAGGCATTCTGGTAGCAGATGTGAATTAGTGCAGGATGCTTATAGCAAGACGAGAGGAACATCAAGAGGACTTGGATAGATAATAATAATAATAGCTTTCTTTGACTAAGCTTTCTAACAATATCGTCTTCAATAAGCTTACTAGGGATTCAACTATAATAATATTAGAAACACATACTTTCCCTTGCTGTCTTGGTTGGTTTGTTATTTTGTATGGTTTTTCCCCTAAAATGGAGAAAAATTGAAATTCCTTTTATCTGAGGGTTTTAGAATCAATTGAACTTGCTAATTTTTTCCCATGTATGTGGTGAACTCTTTTGAAACAAGAGCATTTCTGAACTACTCTAGTTGCTGATGTTATTGTCTTAAAGGTGTAGATATAGGTCACTATGCATGGAAATGGGGATGGATATAATTTTTGTGCATTACCTCCTTTATGATATGAGTTATGGAATATGGATGCTAAATGTGTTACTTTTTAAACTGATATGGATAGAGAATGACTTTCATTAAACAAATATTTTTCTTAATTCTAATAGTATTGAATAATTTATTGATTAATATTACAAAATTTAAATTATTTTGATTTCAAAATTTGAGTTTTAGAGACATTTTACGAATACATATTTTCTTTCTAACAACAAATACTAGTCATTTTATGAATCAATATTTTCTTTCTATTAAAGTACCATTGGTTCCTCTATTCATAGACCTTAGTTGGCTTCTTAGACTGAAAGAACATTGGATTTGAGTTCTAATAAAGCATGCCATGATAGGACATTTTATTAAATAATTTAATGACATAACTAAGCCCTGTAGGATTACTTTCTGTGATTTAGTGCAAAACCAATGGGAAATGTTATCATTATACAATCAGATTAGGTATGTCACAGTGTGCTATTCCATCTAGACTTCCTGGAGTGAAATTTGAAGCATGTAACAACCTCAGTATAAACATTTTCAGGAGCAACGAAATCCATAGGTCGGGTAATTTGCTGTCCTATTGCATCTGCCTCCCTGAAAGGAAATTGAAGGAACGTTACTTTATTTATCTGGATGTATCATGTGTTTCCTTAAGCAACCTTATACTGAAGATTTCTTGCATGGTTTTCATATTGTCCTTTTATTTTTGTTCAAGATATAGCCACTTGCAGGTTGTTTTTCTTTTGAATTTTTCTATCCAAACTTTCCAGAGCTGGAAACTTGACTGTTACAAACTTAGGTGCTGAAGCAATTAGTGATGTAACCTCTTCATCAGGGCCGGTTAAATTGGAAGACTTGCAAAGGATATTGAGCAGTATAGGGCCAGCAGGTATGTAGTTCATTATTTGCAGAATACTTGTTATTATTTCATTATGAGGCGTTAGATCATTTTGAGTTCTAACATGGTTGTTTTGTGGTTGTATCTGTTGCAGAGATAGCTGGTGATCCAGATGGAGGTGTTGGTTCTTTTTCTTTTTTATATTTAATAGAATCTAGTAATATCTAAGCTGTTGAGTTTATAGTTGCCATTATCTGTGAATTTCTGGGAAGTTTTCTTCCTGTGGATGTTTGAAGTCACTTTTTTTTTGTGCCATGTGATGTTTTGGGAAGGGGAGGGAAAGAGGGGGTGGTGGAGTGTGGACAGCTGGTTGTAGTGAGTGTTTTTGCTTCCTCCATCAAGGGTTAATGACATAAGCTAGATGCATTATCCTGAGCCAATTAAAACTTTTAATGGTTTTTGTTGTATATTTCCATGTGAAGTATTTTCCGATAGACTATAAAAGTAATAATAAAATCATAATCATCATATCATCAGTGTAAGGCTAGTGATTATGCTTTTGATCCAATATTTTAACCTATTAGAGTAACTCTTTAAAATGTGAGAGTAGTCTGAAATGCTGTTCTTGAAAGATCAGTTTTGCTTGATGTTGTTGGCTTTCAAAAGATATGCCATATCGGTCAACATTTTTGCTTGTAGTCGAAGAATTGTTATCAGTCTATTATTTCTATAGAACTGTTCAATGTTGGTGTTCATATTTGATGCCACACTACTAGGAAGAAGGTAGTTTGAGGTGAAAGTAAACAATTTTGTAGCCTTTTTCTTTGAGATGACTCTACCTCCACTCCCTTTTTTATTTTCCTACCAGGCTTGGGGTTAGATGACATTTTGAGGCCAGATTTGATAATGCCATTGATTGAGACATGGCCATTGGAAGAGCGATTAGCTTCATATTTACCTGAGGTATAAAATAGTTGCATTGTTTTTGTTTTCTTTCTATATTTTATGTTCTCCCAAATTGAAGTTATTGAGGTGTCAGGGTCAATGGACACCAGAGGACATGTTGGAGTTGCTGCAGAGCCCTCCTTTCCGTCAACAAGTAGATTCATTTACTTATGTGAGGAATTAGAATCCACTGTATTATTTGTATGTAATTTCACAAGGCACTGCTCAATTTCATGAGGTTGCTTTCTCTTTTATAGGTACTTCGAACAGGACAAATAGATTTGTCTCAGTTTGGTATTGACCCGAATAAATGTGAGTAGTCTGCAGTTGCAATAATCTATAGCTTTGCTAGTATTCTAAATTCATAGTCTATTTTAAAGGGCAAACATGTGTAAATTTTAGTATTCGAGGGTTTTATGTCATGCTTATAATTACCTTTTCCTTTTTTTGTAGACAAGTTCACTGTTTTGTCTTTCCTTGAGGCACTTGAAGATTCTGTTTCCAAAATGTCGGAATCAGGAGAAACACAGCAAGATGACAAGGATTTAAGACCTCAATCTTGTAATCGTAATGACCCCATGGATGAGAGCAAATGATGGAGATAATTTCATCCATTACTGTTTTTCTCACCCTCCTTGTTTATTATCGGAGAGGAGAAAGGTTGACCCCTTTGTTTTTGGGGGAGGGGGTGTGTACTTTTCATATATCTTCCTATCCTGAAAAAGGCAGAAAAGAGGCAATGAAGAATAGATATGGTTTTTGTTGTGGTTCAAACTTTCAGCTACTGTATGTTGTAGGTTAAGTGGATGATTTGTTACCTTGAGATCATTTTTATTACTTGAAACAACCAGAGAAACAATGAATTAGGGATAACAGATAAAGCTGGATTTTGTTGTGTTAGAGTTATACGGGATTTTTGTGATTGTTCTCCATGGATGAATTCCTGTTTTATTGACATGAAGGAAGAAAACAGTGGATATCCAAATATTAAATCAGTGGTCTGAAATGGGGTTGCTACGGTTATGGTTCCTATGCTTCAGGATGGGTAAAGGAAGCTCAACAAGAGTGCACTGTGCATGGAAACGCACGGCCAAGTATGCATGTGTTGGGAATAGGTGTAACGCAAATGTTATGCCAAGCGTTCGAAGAAAGAGTAGGTAAGGTTAATCTTACATCGGATATGAAAGAGAAGTTATTAGGGTATAAAAATGTTGACGTTGTATATCTTGATAATTAGGTTTTGAGAGAAGAGGGTAATGGTCACGTGACACTAACTGGTGGTCCAGAATTAATTCACTTTGCCCATTGTATTCGTCGGTGTACGATGTCACTGCCTCAGCATATCCAAGGCCATAAAATCGAAAAAAGTTCCAAGTGATTCAATTTTTGGCTGCCCTAGAGGCAGACTGCCTTCCAACATGCCAACCACATTAAACATAGTCGGCCTACGCGTTGGCTCTAAACGTAACACAAGTCCAATCGCACAAGCATCTCCACCTCTTCACTCTTCACTCTTCACTCGTCCCTCCAGCCTTGGATACACTAGCTACAAATATCTTTTCCGCTCGTGCATTTCCAATGCCAGTAGTGGAAAATATATTCGCTGGAGTTCCAAACTTGATGATGCACAAGAAGTGTTGTTGCTCCGCATTTTTATCGAGAAATTCCTTCTCCCTCTCACAATTTCAAGCAAAACTATCCCATAACTATGAACGTCACTCGTCTGAAATACCAGAGCTCGTCGGCCATTCAGGGGCAAGATATCCACGAGTTCCCCTCAATGTTGTAAGTAGGTTGGATTGTTCAGGAGTTAGCAGCTTTGAAATCCCAAAATCTGATATCTTCACTTGAAAATTGTCATGTAGCAGAATGTTTTCTGGCTTCACATCACAATGGAGGATCTTGTGTTCGCACCCAGCATGCAAATAAGCAAGGGGCCGTGCTGTTCCAAACGCGATTTCGAATCTTTCTTTCCATTCTACAACTGATTCATCATTGAAGATTGCATGGTCCAGTGATCCCCTGTTCATGTATTCGAAAACCAAAAGTCCTTGCTCTCCTTGCACACAAAATCCTTTCAATTCAACAAGATTGATATGGTGAATGTTTCCTATGATGGCAATCCCGGTGCAAAATTCCTTCTTTCCTTCAACTCCCGAATTCGCAATCTTCTTCACTGCCACAACTGATTCGTTTGGCAAAATACCCTTGTACACGGTACCAAATCCACCACTACCGATTTGTGTCTTAAAGTTCAGTCGCGGTTGCAAGCTCCTCGTACTCGAACCTCACTGGTAAATCTGGGATATATATTATATCAATCTCGGCTGAGGACGAGTTCTTAGAGCCTAATCTTACAACTGCAGTCCTGGAATGCCAGTTTCTTCTTCTCCACCATAGGAATCCTACAACAAGGGTAATTAGGAAAAGCCCTGATGAAGATGGTAGCACCAAACCTGTTACAGAGAATTTACGACCGCCATTGGTCTCAGCACTCTGGTTTACATTAGAAGTTACAATCATGGTCTTTATATAGCCGAAAAATCTTCTTGGCCAAAGGTGCTTGAAAAGATGGATCCCACATTGTTTTGAATTGGATAACAAGTATCAGAAGAGTTTTCGTGGAGAACCTCTAAGCAAGAACAATTCTGAGAGCATAGCAGTTGACAGTATGATAAGTTGACCCGTCCACTTAAGGGTTTTACTAAATCAGTTGAGAAATAGTCTATGCTATGCCCAATTTTCAGGTAGGAATCATGTTAATTGGTTCCACTACCATTACTTGCATTGCAAGCCTTATGCAAGTAAAAATAGGATTAATTGGCACACAACCGTCTATTCCATCGTGGAAAGCCGGTGGACACGAACAAGTTGCACTGCTACAAAAACCAATTTTCCCACAAATGGAAGGAATTCTGCAATCTTCAGCTGGAAATTGAAATTTTTGGACCAATTTGCTCCCATCATATCTGCTAATAGTAAACTTCCCTTTGGACTCCAACTTTGCAAATATGAACTCCAATCCAGCAGCAGCAGCAGCCAAAGTCACCTGAAAGACTACTCTTGAACCATGATCTGCCAAACAACACAAACCACTGCCATTCACGGCCGTAAAAGACACGGGCGGACTTGAGTCCTTGAAAGCCCTGTAGTCCATTGACCACTGCCAATACGTCATCCCATTCCATTGCAAAACCGCATCCACACTGGTAAGCAAATGCTGATAGTCACCATCCAAGAAGTCAGTACCCACAGGCAATCTTTGCCCCATTACAAGAGTATCAGTAGGGTAGTCAAAACTTTCCCATAATGAAACGTTTCCTTGATCAAGAAGATCAAAATTGCCAGAGTCATCAAGTTGCACGAACGCAACCGGAGAGTCGAGGTTGGGCGTTGACCAGAAAACGCGATCGAAGTCATCGTTGATGACAAGTCCATTAAGAGTTAGCAAAAGTTTAGCAGACTCTGAAATGGGTCTGTTTCCGTTAGCTGTCCAGACGGTGCTGTTGGAAGATAAGTGAATGACTGAGAAATAGCATTCAGGGAGCTGTTGGTTGGGGTCTGAAATGGAAGCTTTGAAGGTAGCACTGGGAAATGCTAAGAAGACGCTAGCCTGGTCAACCAATTGGGAATAGGAAGCGGTGAAGTTGGGGCGAATGGAGTGATTGTAGAGATGACCTGACGAGGTAACAAGGAGCCCGGATAAGAGAAGGAAGGTGGCAAAGAAGGCCATGTTTCAAACCACAGAGACAGAGACCACAACCCCCAACAATGGCAGCAGCTACTTTGACCACATTTTCATAGAAATGCACCTAAACTAGGAGAGTTGCTTTCTCTTTACTTGATTTTGTCCGACTTTCAAATGGGGGCCTGTTTTTAAGATTCCAACTTCAAACTTCTCAAATCTCGATCAATAAATATATCTACTTGGACTTGTAGAAAGATGTGTATAATAAAGAAAAGGCTCACTATGACTTCGACAATGGTAGCTAATAGTATTGTTTTCGCTCGACTAATGACATACTAAGCTCTAGTGGCAGCAACAGACGTGCTCGAACGTAGAAAATTTACATGAAATTCTTGAAGTTTATGAATTTTTTTAAAATAATTTAGTAATAATTTTAATAAAAAATCTAAATAGATAGATTAATAGAGTTTAATATAAAAATTAATAATACATAAAAAAATTATTAAAAATTTATAATTTAAATTTGTTCGATATTTATTTAATGATAAAAATTTTGTAAATCTTTTTACTAAAAATATTTATTTAAAATTATATATCAAAACTTATTAATTTTTTTTTTTAAATTTTATACACTTGATTTATGTAATGAAATATTTTAATTTTTTATTTTAGTTTTTATTTAATCATTTTTTGTTGAGAATTTCGTAAATTTCATCTAAGTATTTCCTTGTTTGAATGAATTGAATTGTCTTTCAATTTTGATAATTTTAATTATACATGCATTTTGATTTTAAATCTCTGAATATTTAAATTGTTTCAGATTTTATCATTTGACATGCACTTACAATCATTGACTACTATTTTGACACATCTTCAAAAAATTTCACATAGAAAGATTTATTTTACACTAATTGTGTTGTTCATCGTAATATTTTTATCTCAGTTAACAAAATAAGTTAATTATATTACTAATGATTTAGAATGAAATGATTTGAGAAGAAAAGGATAAAATGATTTTTAAAAAAATTTTAATTTATAGTGAAAAAAACCTACATTGTTTTAGGGGTAGGAGACTTGTGTGTGGATTCAGATCTGACTCGAGATTTACACATCCGACCCACGACTTGATTGTTGTTATCCCTTATAATCGGTCCAACTGAATTATACCTAAATTAATCAAATTGATGTTAAATCATAAAAAAAATGGCCGACCCAATTCAGATCGCATAAAAACTACTCAAATTTATCTATATTATTGATAGACCATTTTATGGTATTTATTATTATTATTATTGTTATTATTATTATTATTTAAATTATATTTTTTAGTTTTAATTGTTATATTATTTCTATTGTATGATTGGAGTTTAAATTTGTTTTAAATGAGGGATACTTTATTTTAATTAATAAAATTATAATAAAATAAATAATGATAGAATAATAAAATAAAATGTTAAATTAAAATCTATTTACATAATAATAATTTTAACATAAAATTTAACAAATTTTAAATAAAAATAATAAAAGAAATAAATAAAATGACAGAAAAAATTATATTTCAAATTATAAATTTCCAAATAGTTGTGAATGTGCGACTAATAAATAATTTTTTTTAAAATTCTACCAGAATGATGGTGAATTTAAAAGAAAATTCTAAAATATTTATTTTGAAACAAAAATTAAAAATAAAACAAATAAAAAAAGATAATATGAACAATAAAAATCTAGAAAATTACAAAACATTTAATTTTCTAGAAAAGATTATTTTTTAATTCTATCATAATGATGAAAAATTTAGAAAAAAAAAAAAATTGAAGGTCATAAAATCAAAGAGTAGTAAGAAATAAAACAAAAATTATGCTTGAAAATAATAAAAATCGTCTTAATCACGGAGTTATAAGAAATCACGAAAGAGTGATTTTTATAAGAGATTCCTACATGTGAAACCCTATCTGAATTTAATCATAATGATGAAAAATTTGGAGACAATGTTCTAACACCGATGATTTTCATTTATTCTCAAGTAAAAGAAAATAATTAAACATTAAATAGTTAAATTTCTTCTTTATAAACTTTCAACAAATCATAAGAATGAAAATAATCGTTAATCAATAACAGCATTCTAAAAAAACTTACAAATGAGTAATTTTTTCAAGAATTCATAAAAAAAAAAAATGTTTAAATTATTCTAGAATGATGGATAACTTAAGATTAAAAAATTAAAACCAAAATTTCATAAAAATCTAAAATCTTTAAACCATGAAATTCTAAAAATCACGAAAAAGTGATCCT